TGCAATGGAGATTAATGACTTGATGATGCTCAAATTAAGGAGCAACAGGAACCTATACATGTCCTGATGATGCCCAAATGAAGAAGCAACAGGAATTCACCCCTATTCCGTTAGACAACTAACTTATTGTCCAAGATAGTTTTGTAACATACGATTTTAATTATCACATCTAATGATTCGGCGTACATGACATATGGCAATGACTTAAGAGTCAACGACCTATTTCAGCTGGGATCATTAGAAGATGCGTTTGCGCAACGAAATAGTGATGTTAAAATGTCACCTGTCGATGTTCTTTTTCGGTAGTTGGCTTTCAAAGTGCGTTGACCCCTGGTCTGTTACAATGAGGAACAATTACTTTCTAAAAACAATACTACTTACTTATGGTCCTACTAGCGGCCGCCCGCGACTTCGTACGCGTGGGTCCCGTTTTACACCCTTCATCTATCTTACGCGGTTTAGATTTTTTCATACAAATGTTTTTCCCGCTAACTCCCGTTCCCGTGGGGATTTTGCAATATCCTGTTGTAACTAAGCTTTAAGTTTACTAAGGTGCATGCCAAATTTCAAACGTCTAACTTAAGCGGTTTAGATTTTTCATACAAAAGGATTTTCCCGCTAATTCCCGTTCCCGTGGGAATTCCTAAGTATACTATAACCTGCCCAGGAGTATGAAGAATAATTGTGCCAAGTTTTGTTAAGATCCGTCGAGTAGTTTTTGTTTCTATAAGGAACATACAGACAGACAGACAAAAATTTTACTGATTGCATTTTTGGCATCAGTATCGATCACTAATCACCCCCTGATAGTTATTTTGAAAATATTTCATGTACAGAATTGACCTGTCTACAGATTTATTATTAAGTATAGAATAGATGTCCCCTAGATGGGGCAGAGGGCGTCCACAACATGCCGATGCCGATGTCTTGCCGATCTTATTCGCCTCGTTCTTCTTCGTCTAAAAACAATAGGGTAATTTAAATTGTTTAAAAATCTACTAATTTACAATATTAGTAGGCCAAATCTTCCATTTGCCTCTGGTAAATTAAAGAAATGGCAAGTGCAGTGGCAAAATGACCTGTGATGATGATGAGCTAATATTACCACACTTTTAATAGACAGTGTTTTAAAAAATATATACAGGGTGTTAGGTATATGGGTATATGAGCCGACACTAGCCCATGTTAACATGGGCATATAAATGGTATGGTGAAGTCAGAAATTTGATATCATCATTTTAATTTTTTTAATTTACATACAAAATTAATTTTATAAAATCCGATTTGTATGAAAAATAAAATAATTAAAATGAAGATATCAATTTTCTGACTTCACCATACCATTTATATAACCATGTTAACATGGGCTAGTGTCGGCTCATATGCCCATTTACCTAACACCCTGTACCTATATCGTTTGTAAAAAACGTATGTCTTGATTTCGAATTTCAATACTAAGTATAGGATGTGGGTTAGCGTCCTAGAGAAACGCAAGAAACTAATTCATCGACACATTTTCAAGACAATTAAACTGTCTTGTAAACAACAATCATTTCCAAAAACTCGATAGTTACATCACTATTCCCGAAAATGATGCCTCAGACGGACACTGAGCGATATAATGATGACATGCACCGTGTGCTTCACTTACCACTCCGGACAATGGCTCAATCATTTTGTCTGCAGATGGAAAAAACCAGACGGTGAAAATAATTTCCATTGGTTTGTAGAGTTCATAAAGAACTTTGAAATATGAAACACAAAATAGCAATTTCCCTGAATGCCAAAAAAACTCAACATAGGCAATTTTTCTTCCTAAGGCACCTGTCCACCCACCATCACCATCTACCCAAGCCCTGTTGCCCATGATGAAAGGCTAACAAAACCAATCGACCTAAAGTGCTTATCGAAGCAAGAGACCTGATATGATCCTATTAAATCAAGTTAATTCATGCCTAAATCCTATTTCAATGGGAATTATAAAGACTTTCCCAGTCGAAACCAAAGACTTTCCATGAATACAGGATAAAAATAAGAGCTACATAAGATTGAAAAAGTTACAATTGCCAAAAAAATAACAGTTTTTTACACGTTCGAGAAACGTAAAGTGTTTTGTCCCTTTTAACATTCCAAAAAGGAAACCAATCATTCTCAGATAACCGTTGGAACAGTCAACTAATCATCAAGTAAGTGGGTTTTAAGTGATTTTACAAATTCCTTTGTGTCTCACTCGCAGTCAGGGTTCCTTTAAGCTTTGTTTTCTTAATGGAACAACTTATTTATGTGTTAATGTGTGACTCCATATCGCTACACCTAAATTTAAAGGTTTTTAAGCAAATTAAACTCCTAGCAGAATCTTAGTTCTACGTAAGTAAACGCAGCGCAATGCACGTCACGTTTTTCTAATCACAACATTTTTTAAAGCTGCTTTTTTAAAAGCTTTTAATATGTAAAGCTGTAAGTTTTCCAGATAGTTGTAATTGTTGTAAAGTAAAATCAATCAATTTGTGCTATATTCATGAGTAGGTACTAAACATTTTTCATTAATTTTAATTAAAGTTTATGTTTTGCTTGGTTATCGAACATTTGGACTAACGCTTTCGTTTTTACGCGTTGTTTTTTAACACTTCACTTTTGTTGAAAGGGTGATAGGGGAAATAAGATGTTAATGTCATAGAATATTAAGTAGTTTATCTTCATAAAAATTTGGATAAGTATTTTTTACTGAATAATTTCTTCTTCATATTTACCTAATATTTATCTGTCTATAATTTATTGTAACTCTACATTGCGAAAAATTGTGAAAATGTCACATAATGACATGTCTCAGCCATAGGACGTCCACATAATGAGAACAATAGTGTCCAAAATCAAAAAAATAGCAATAGTGTCAAAAAAAATAACTTGATGATTTTGTGCCTATATCGTTTGATAATAACACTATCTTAAATTCATTTTTTAATTAGTAATCATATATATTGTGGTATAATTTGACCCCTCTATCATACGTATTCCCATAAAATTTGAGGTTTTCGTTCACTGGACGACTGATTGCTTCCACGCGTACGAAATACAATCAATAAGATGCGATGGGTGTCAAGTACGTATGTGTGACAAATTGATAAGATTGCTCTGAATTTGGATCAATAACGAGATGATATGACAATAATAAACATATCTAATATACAGCTATGTAGTTGCCTATTTACTTGAATCGCGGGGTCGATAGAAACTCAACTTGATCATTTTAGCAGGGTCTCTACATCTTATGTAAATGACTAGATCGCAGTTAATTCATGGGGATTAAAGTTAGTTTTAAAAGTTTCAGTACACTATGTAATGTTCTAAATGAGAATCGAACGTCATTGCAAGGATAAACATCGTAAATCACTTTTGGGCAATTTTACTTTAAAAAGTTGTTATTAAAAAAAAGCGCAATTTTTGTTCCAAAAACCGTTTTCATATAGGTATCCGAATTATAACTTATTTTTTTCAGAGAGACCATTTTTAGGATTTAAAATGACTATGTTTTCATAAGTGCAACTTTGCCTAAAATGTTCTAAAGTGCTATGGTCTCTACATACAGTCTGAACATTCTAATAAACGAGATTGTTAAGTATACAAATACTATACCCAAAAAATTAAGCATTCTTCTTACATCAAGTAAGTAAGAAGGTACCTGACATACTCAAGCTTCGAAACCGAGACAGTAAAGTGACTCTATAACTCTTAACCTAGTAGTAAAAAAAACTACGCAACGGATTTTGATGCGGTTTTTTTAATAGATAGAGTGATTCAAGAGGAAGCTTTTTAAGTATAAGGCCTCAGCCTCGAACTTAGCGGGCAGCGGGGCGGCGGCGGCGGCGGCGCGGGAGCGGCAGGATCTTATGCGTAAAATCAAATGGACCGGTTCTCGAAAACAGCGGCGCGGCAGCGGGGCGGCAGCGGGCAACGAGCGGGCAGCGGCGAGGGAGCGGGCATCGAGCGGGGAGCGCACTCCTTCTTTTGCCCACAATAAATCGAGGGTTAGGAATAAATTTGAATCGAAATAAAATTGTCGCCGTTGTTCAGACATTTCGTTTGCGAATAAAAACAAATATCTCGACAACACAACCCCGAACACAACACTTCGCCGCTAAAGCGCCGCCGCGCGAGCTGCCCGCTTGTTTCGAGAACGGGTCTGCGTTGCCCGCCCCGCTCCCGCGCCGCCGCCGCTCCCGCCCCGCTGCCCGCTAAGTTCGAGGCTGAGGCCTTATACATTGTACCTGTGCGTAGCAGGGGCGGGTCGCTAGTGTTTGTGTATTTAGAGCTATTTATCCGTAAGTGTATAATGTACTAATATTAAAATTTATCGTTTATTTAAATTGAAAGAGTTAAAGAATGAATTTGCAACAATCAGATAATCTTGACTTTATCTGATTTATAGACTTTCTATTTCGCAAATTCACAATAATAAGATAAGCTTTGATAATAGATTAATTTTGGCGCGTATTTTTTTGCGATAATTTTGACATATAAATAATATTTTTATTTCACTTTACTTTTAAAACACCCATTAGAATAGATACAACATACAGATAGGCTTTACTCATAGTAAAAATACGACTTAATTGGGTTATAAAAGGTAGTGCATTACTAGGCACTAGGGATACGATAGCATATTATATCAATCTATGTAAAAAACTGTGGCATCTGTTATGTACAAATGGGATATTTACTACAAAAATTAGTCTGACAGCTATCGCCTGCACCAAAGACTGTTGCTAAGCGAAATGATGCACTTTCAACGCTCGCACTTCATAGAAAATGAAAACAATTTTCCTTGCAGTATTGACCGTAATGCAGCGCGCATGCGCGAGTCATACCCGACTAAATCCGAAAGACAACAACCGTGATATCAAACTTCACGTTTCCATAATCCACTAGCACCATTTTAAATCTGACAGCGACCATACAATTTGTCAGGTTAACGTAAACTTGACAATCAGTTGTTGCTACAATCAGTCATAGTGCGTTGTTTACATTGCACTAATGCATTTTCTGAAGTTTTACATTTATTTCAACGCGTGATTATTTAAATTTTGTTGTTGGTGTTCAGTGTTTATTAGAGCATTTAGTGATTTTATGACATTTGTACGAGTTTACTGAGAAAGGTAAGCAAGTGTTTGTATATAGTTACCATAGTAGGCAATTTACCTTGACGACTTATGAGTTTGCTATTAATATTATGTCGATCAATTTCAATGCATTAGTCGAATGCAATTAATATACTACCTGTAGCGTTTATAAATAAAAATACTGGCTATATTTAATTTGTGTAAAACCAATGTACTTTAGTTAAAAATTAAGCAGATTATTTAGCAGATTTTGAAGCTGAAGTATGCATTAAATACTATTTCAGTTTTTAAATTATCTTGACAATTACAGCTTTACGTTTATACGATTACGAGAATTTTTCGTGCTTAGGGTCCAGAATCGGTACATTTGTCTGATTCCTTTTAATGGGTCAATGACACCATAGTAGACCCATAGCGCATGACTTCAAAGCATGGTGAGCAGGTGCATTACGGGAAGGTCAATCGATTGCCTTTCACGATTTCTCGGATTCCAATCTATTTAAATCGATTTTGTGCCCATTCCATACGGAATATTTATGGTCCCTAGTTACGGTACATTCCTAACTTAGGCTGAGTTGCATCACCTTAACTTTAACCATAACCGGTACTTTTGTATGCAGTTTGACAGACTTAGGCTGGGTTGCACCATCTTAATTTAACTTTGACAAACCTTAAAAATCTGTCAAACTCCATACAAAATACACCGGTTATCGTTAAAGTTACGGTCAAAGTTAGGTGGTGCAACTCAGGCCTAAAGTTCAAATAAGATGGTGCAACCCAGGGTTAAAAATTACAAATAGCTGTCTTTTACGCCCGTATTCACAAACATTACTATGAGGTCTCACAGTGCGCGTGGACGCACAGGGTCACACACGAAGTAATCACAGAACTCTATTCAACGCTGTGCGTTCGATTTGCTGCTTCACTTATGCAAGCATCGTTTGTGAATACGGGTGTTAGAATCTAGAGTGCGATCGTTCAATGAGGGCTATCGTTTTAGTGCTCACCAGTTAGCGCCACTGTAGAGTAAGGTCCTGTCACTTGCTAGTAGCGAAGACAGTGGCACCAACTGGTGAGCGCGAAAGTGGTAGGAGGACTATCGCATTTGCACTCATCAAGATGGCGCCACTGTAGAGTAAGGTCCTGTCAATCGCCAGGGATGCCATCTGTTAAGTATAAAAACGATAGCCCTCATTACCATTGCCTTATTATTACGTAATAATCATAAAGACTGGCGCTGTCACAGCCTATAAACAGTAGATAATAAATAAATTGTCGGCCGTTTGGTGTAGTGGTTCAGAACGGACTACTATGCCGAGAGGTCCCGGGTTCGATTCCCGGCCGGGCAGAAATTGAAATGATGAATTTTAATTTCTGTGACGGTCTGGGTGGCTTCTATGTATTATAGGTATGCATGTATTTACAAAAAAAAAAAAGAATTTAAGTATGTTTATATGCGTTGTCTAGTACCCATAGTAAGTGCAAGCTTTGGGTTTGCTTAGTTTGGGGCTAGCGGCGCGCAGTGTAAAATGTCCAAGGGTTTATTTATTTATTTAAATATACAAACAAAAAACTGACATTGCAATGAATAGTAGGTAATGATAATTACCATGACACATTTTTAGGTAAAGATGTGTCGTTATCAACAAATTATTTACAAACCCACCTGCGTATTTCATATGCACCTGCCGTAGAGAAAGTCCAATTTAACTAGTTAGTAACCAAATAGTAAGTACGCGTCCATAAATTTCGATAATTGCGTGGTCGCTCCTTAAAATGTGGTTACAGTTGTACACCTTTTCGAAGTTCATTTGACCTATTGTATGAATTATTGCATACTTTTAAATTAGATTGACTAATGTCACCAGGGTTGACAACTTAAGCTAAGTTGCACCATCTTACTTTGACTTTAACAATCGTCAAAAATCTATCAAACTCCATAAAAAATACACCGTTTATCGTTATAACTACGGTTAAAGTTAAATGGTGCAACTCAGTCTTTGTTGTAAATTGTAAACTGGAGGAGGTTCTGGATTTGCTTGGTAGGTGGCACAAAACATAAAGTCAATTCAGTTTTTGTACCTATTTGATTTGTTCCTACTTTCCAACCAAAGGCGTCTATTAAGTAGAGTGTATAAAAAAGACTTTATTCTTCTTACATCTCAACAACCTAAACAGTCATTGCTTTTATTTACCTCTAAATGTTATACTAATCTAATTCATTCATACCTTAGACAGGCAAAAATTATATTATAACGGACTTATAGCCAACAATCTACTAGCATGTAAAAGTTTGTTAAATACGCGAGAGATAAAAAAAGCTCTTAAACTTTTAAAGTACCGCTCGCTCGCTGTACCGTTCCAAAAATATTTGTTTTATGACAACCTCAGTATTATAAACCTGTTTCTAAGCCAGTTTACACAATATCAGAGGGCCAACATGCCCTTAGGGTCAACGTACGATTGAGCTGTATAAAAAGCTCCATCATCAAAAACAAACGAAAACGTGGCTTGTACGTACTTTAGTGACATCTTAAGAATAGAGTCGCTTCCAGACCACACGCATATATTTTATTTTAGGGAGAAATAGGACTTTCCAAGTTGTAATTGGCAAACTTAAATCGATCAAAACTGGATCAATTTCGTTAATATTTCTGTCCAGTGATTGCTTTATATTGAAATTCATACAATCAAAAAGTCTTGATAGGCATGTGCTTTATTATTATTTTGAAGTTTCACTTAGTAATACGCAAGTATGACACTATTGTTCGGATGACGATGACCGATAAAAATGTTTACATCATCAATGCGCATTTTGTTAACGTGATCAAGACAGTGCACTACTCTGTGACACAATTTTTAATCTGATCAGCTCGGGACTATTCCCACCTCTCGTTTCCACCGCTGCAACTCTTGTGTAGCCAGATTCTACAGCTTGACCGCCATTAAAAACCCAACCAGTGAAAGTCTTTGTCCCGGGGGAAAGTTAAACTGTCATGATCATCTCACATACTTACTCGTCGTATACCTACAACTTACAAGTCTTTACAAAACAGATACATAATATAATATTGTAAACCATCCATCCTAGTCAGCGAGTCACCTTGATTGGATTGGACGCATTCACCTAGGATGCAAATGCACTAGAACCGACGACATTCCATTATCACCCACAGCCACAGCTAGCCGTCCTGAATGCATAATCTTGCAAGATTGTTTTTCTAGAGCTGGATACAAAACGCTTTGATGTAGTTTAGTACCTATATAATATCTATCATCTACATATACATACCTACAACACAGAACAGAAATCTGTGGTAGACAATATTCGTTGTCTAGTACTCATAAGTCGACAAGTTTACCGTAATTTTCAAGAACATGTAAGCTAAGTGAACGTCAACATAAAGCTATCGGTTTTTAAATGGGAGATTACTTGCCAATAACCAACCCTAAAATGAAATCTAAATGTCCGAAGTTTTTAATAATAAGTTCATAAGTAGCGTAGGAATAGGAGCGGATTTTGTTAACAAAAGTGCCCTAGAAATATAAGTATCGACCGATGCGCGCGCGCTTGTTAGCTAAGCGTTGATTGTGAAGCTAGTATCATTATTTGCTTTGATAACATTGTTGAGCTTCGTATTTACGTAGTTTACTACAGAGTGAGTAGGATAAATAAGCTAGTGGTTGCTGTAAATAATTATCCCGCCAGAATCATTTTTTCATGTTAAATTTTTCTATGACGATTATGGTTCACACCGTAAAAGAATTATCAAATCTCATGTAGCTTCTAACTCCACTTCGTGATAAACTCTACACCTTTGTCAAAATATTATGTGGCATGGCCTTTACTTTTTTATCATCTAATAAACTTGATTAAAGCATACAATATCCTGTAACGAAACTAAAAAAAATTATTCTCTGATTTTCCAATTTACTTGTCAAATCGGTGTCCCAAAACTTAATGTGAAAATTTTAATTATTATCGAAAACTATTTATCGACAAATGAATGCTCGCACAATGCAATAAAGCGGGAATGCGCCGGATTTGAATTCGTTAACAGACGTGCGTGGAGGGGTGTAGTAAGTGCAATATCGATCTTGCATAGCGCGTGCGCGTGTAGTATTGATTTTGCGAGTTCCCGAAGGATCATTTCGGGACTGCTATATCGCGGATTGTAGAAATATGAAATATACATTAATGAGATTTAGATATTTCTATTTAGTAAGCCGTGTGGTGACGGCAGAGTAGAATACATTTGTCACCGACCCCTACTCTTCCCGCGGGTGTCGTAAGAGGCGACTGAGGGACTACACATCAAACAGAGAACGGGCAGCAGCGCTCTCTGAAAAACACCAATCTTATAAACTGCGATCTCCAACCCGCCTGCCAAGCGTGGGGATTATGGCAAAACCCTCCACTATAGTGGAGGAGGCTCATAGTCCAGCAGTGGACTGTAAAGGGCTGTTGATGATGATAAGTTATTTACAAAAACCATTTAATAACGTTTATACCGTTGGCTGTTATAGTTACAGTTGGCTATTATACAAGCTTTAAAATACAAGTAAAGATATTTTTAATGTAATTAAATACGTATTCCCATGGTCCTCTGTCCATTGAACTCGTAATCTTGCTCTACATTCTCTCTTCTTTAATATCTAATCATAAAAGCGCTCTGGAAAGGGCCTAGGTACTGAATAAAAAAAGCTTTGACCAAGCTTTCACCCTAAATATACAGATTTATGCAATAACACAGATCTACGCAGGAACCGAACCCGCTAACAGATGTGCGTGAGGGGCGAACGAGTCCTTTCCCGGGACTCAAACTATCTCCATGCCATCAAAATCGCTTCAGTGGTTTAGGCGTGAAAGCAAGACAGACAGACAGACAGATTTAAATATTATATTTTATACTTTCACCTATAAATAATTTGAATTTACCCACAGTACATTTTACCCGCTAACAGATGTGCGTGAGGGGTGAACGAAAGACAATATCGATCTTCCGCAGCGCGTACGCACAGTCATACTGGTATTG